GGGCCTGGAGCATCTCTCCTATGAGGAAAGGCTGAGTGAACTGGGTCTGTTCAGCCTTGAGAAAAGAAGACTGAGAGGGGACCTGATCCAGGTCTATAAATATCTAAGGTGTGGGGGGCAGAATGGCGAGGCCGGACTGTTTTCAGTGGTGAGTGGAGACAGGACAAGGGGAAACGGCTGGAAATTGCAGCATAGGAAGTTCCACACAAACATGTGCAAGAACTTCTGTACAGTGAGGTGACGGAGCACTGGAACAGGCTGCCCAGGGAGGTGGTGGAGTCTCCTTCTCCGGAGATGTTCAAGACCTGCCTGGATGCCTACCTGTGCAACCTACTGTAGGGAACCTGCTTTGGCAGGGGGGTTGGACTCGATGAGCTCTGGAGGTCCCTTCCAACCCCTACAATTCTGTGATTCTGTGAACTGCTTTCAGTCCCTCCCAGGTGCACCAATATTAATGCCAACTCATTCATCCCCTCCGCACCATGGCTTTAAAAAATTGTTTCCAAGGCTAAGTAATTACGGAAGTTACTGGCATCAGTGTGCACTTGAAGCCACACTGCACCCTTCCTGCTATCTCGGAGCTCCACAAAAGCCTGCAGCTCTTAAACATGGGTGCATTCCCCTAATTCAAAGTCAGAACTAAGGAGGTAAAAGGCACGGGGATTCATCAAACCCATGGAGAGATGTTACACGAGCAAGCATCCCCCACGCTGTTAACCCCATCAAAACGCCCCTAATCCCATTACACAACACAGAGTTCAGCTGCCCTTCCAGCAGCCCTTCCACACAAAGGCCAGAAGAAGATTATGCCTCTCCTGGGTTTATCAGCTATTAAATAACTCACCGTTCAGACCTCCACCTGCAGCCATCGACTCCTCTCAAGCTCAGGAGCAGTGAGCTGCATTACGAACATGAGTGTTACCGTGAGCACATTGCAGGGCGTGCTGCTGGCACCCCTGAGCACAGCCACGTCAGTGTTCTTTATCCCTGTTATCTGCTATGGGCAGACGACCTGTTACTTCGTTAAAAGCATCTGATATCTGAACTGGTGATGGGAGGGAAATACTGAATAAACACCATGGTTACAACGGAGCTCCAGCTCCCACAGGAAGGAGCCAAGATCATAAAGAAGGGGTGTGGGGATTGCCTATAACATGCCACAGATGGCATGCAGACATTGCCTGGCGCAGCCTCCCAGGCCGTGAGGTACCAAGCAATATCTCAGTGCTGTTACAAATGCTAATTTTGCAATGGTGACATTTTTGAGGACCAGAATGAGACCACAAAACTCTTTTCACTTAAGGCAAAGAACCAGATGGTAACAAGCTTCAGCTAGTACAGTCTGTTTTGGATTTAAATCAGCCACCTAAAAGTCAAGGTCTCTGTATACCGGGATCCTGAGAATTCAGCTCTCTGCACTCTTGTTTTCTGAGTGTATCTCGACGTTGTTACAAACAGACAAGGCATTATTAAACACAGCTGTCAGTGAGTACAGCAGCTTCAGAGGGAGGTCCCATCAGATGCCACAGGGCGCTGGGCAGTGCCAGCCCAGCAGAGCGCTGATCTGCAGTGCACAGCATGCTTGAAGCAAGACCTGAAGGCTTTCGTGATTACAGATGAAACTCCCGGCCATTTGTTACAAGAGTTGCTGGTTGGTGCTGTACACTGTTGTCCTGTACCAGAGGAATACCTCAGCATACACATCAGAGCCCTCCCTTCAAAGCTAAAGCAGAGGAACAAAGTGTCGTGTTTGGAACACCGCTTCTCATCCACTCCCCCATTGTGTTCCTTCATCTCGCACACCAGACTCCACCATGCCTGCTCCCTGGGATCCTTCACAGCATTCCGAGGCCTTGGGGAGGAAGACTGAGCAGCCCCATCCCGATGCCCCAGCTCTGCATGCTGCCTCCTGCCTGCATGAGCCCCTCTTCCTCCTCTCATCGCTCAGCAGACAGAGCAAAGCACTCTTCTGCTGTCTTCTTCCAAGTCTCAGTCTGGTTGCTTTGGAAGATCCCTCCTTTATTGCTGTTCCCTTCGCAAGGCACGGCTACACAATAAATTACCACAACGCAGAGCCAGAGCGGGCTGCAGATTTACAGCCCCTCAGCTGCTTTGTATTAACAGCCATGTGAGCACCACGCTGCACAGCCTCACATCCAGCGTGGGATCAGTGCTCCAGCAAGCACTACCCCGCCGTGCCCTGTGCTCTACCTGAGCCCAGCAGAACTTGCTCTGGTTGCCATGGCCAGGAAGAACCTTATCTACTGCCTTTTGCCGATTTCTCCTTTTCTCTGCATGCTGAGAAAGTCTCAGACGAATCGAGGTGAGGGGGCAGGGCTGTGCCATTCCTCTCCTGCTGCACAGGCCCGCTGCACAGTGCGGAGATGTGAGATGCTGTGTCTGCTGGTCCACATCTGCTGCAGCATCACTGAGCAACATGTGCTGCGTGCTCCTGAACACCAGCAGAGCTCGGCACATTCCAGAGCAGCATGACTTCAAGGCCCGGGAGTTTGGGAAGCGGAGGGAAGCAGAAGTGCTGGTCTTGCTGTAGGAGCGATTCTCACACTGCTGAGCTCTCCTTGTCGTGCTGCAGAACTAATTCTGAAGGGCAGCACAGTGCCAGAGGCGGGTCACTGCAAAAGTTGAACAGCAACCCTCTCTCCTGTTTGGCTATGTTAAGTGGAAAAGGCAGAAGAGTAAGCAAAAGAGACACTGAGCCACAGCAGCACACAGCCATCTGTTTCTGTCCATTTAAATGGAGAAGAAAAGACAGCTACAGAAGTACAGCACCCATCTGCACCTGGCTCTTTTTCCCACAGCAGACACTAACCACCCCGTGTGCTGTTGCAGCTCGTGCCATTCCAGCCCTGCTTCCCCAGGCCCAGGAACCTCTCCACGCCACGCTGGAAGCTCATCACAGGTACCTGCAGAGCTACAAAGCACCCCAGTTTTGCACAGGGAGCAATCCCTTTGCAGAGCACTCAGCTGACGGCATCAGAGCAGTCTGGGACCACCCCAGTAACATGCACGCTAGCAATGCGGCAAAATGGTTTTTAGATCTCAGTACCTGAAGCCTAAAAACACATACATGTTTTCATCCATTGCTGCCTACACGGCCGTCCCCACCCTGAAAAGACTCAGTTTTAAGAATATTAATTAAGCCACAGGTCAGGGGAAAAAAGAATGATGCCTTAATCAGATTCTTACCCAAATGAAGTGCTTTGTTGCTTACCATCTTCGTTGCTCTCAAATCAAGAACACACACATCAAGTACGACTGGAAAATGCAAAGACAACCTCTGCTCAATCAGCAGCGTGGGCTGTGGAGATACGTGGCAGTTCACAAAACGCGACCTTGCCATTATAGAACTTGGGAACACAACACTCATCAGAGCCCCATCAGCTCCGGGCCCTCTAACTCAAAAGGGAAGCAGCAGGAGTCCAGCAGTTTGAACAGAGAAAAAGAATGATCAGAGCATAGAAAAATGTTCATGTGATGAGAGACTTAAAGGAGTTTTGATTGTTTACCCAAATGAAACAAATACATGAAGTCGTGACAGAATTTCCCCAAAAATGTGGTCTGCAAACAAGAGATTTCTACTCACCTCATTTCTTAATGCAAACACAAGGGGGCATTTGGAAAAACCCAGAGGAGAAAAATGATAGATGCAATAAATAGGTAATGCCTCCAGCCCACATCCTGCTAAGCCAGAAAATTGGTTATTGTGATATAACATTGCAACTCAACATTTGACCAGAGCTGAAGTGAGCTACAGGAGAGAACGCTAACATTTCTAGGGTTGAAGGCAAAAAAAGAACAAAAAAAACAGAACCACATACCACAGCCTTTGAGTTGACCCAAACCCCTACCAGTTAAGGGCACGGGCAAGCACACGCTGCTGACTGCTACTGCTGCTAGAAAAAAAGCACGACTGCTGCTGTTCTGTCACCAAGTCCCAGCTTTGTGGCACCGCTGCAGAACTGCCCCGACCCCGTGTGTCTGAGCCAGCACGCCTCACCCCCCTGCAGTCCCACCAGCAGAGCTGCCCCATGCCAGCAGGGGACACACAGACACAATTCGGGGTCCTGCTAGCAGCAGCACGGTGGCACAAGCAGGCTGATGCTCATTTCCAAGAGGATAAGAGCCAGCAGAACAGGAAACGAGCGTTTTCCCGGCTGGCCAGAGCGCTGATCTGGCACACAGCCCGCCATCTACGTATGCACTGACTCAACAGGAAAATATTACGGGAAGAAAAAACCTTGATTAGAGTTTTCTTGTTAAGAAGCTGCCTAGAATGTCCTCTTTCTTCCCCTTTTATCTACCATGATCAGCTTTCCTCTGTTGACGATGTCTACCAGGAACAAGCTCTGTGATCCCTGACACAAGCCGGCCGGCATGCGGGGTTTGCTCTGCAGCCCTGCTGTGCTCTTCAGCTCAGCCTTCAAACCAGAGACTTCCTTACCAACAGCCATGCAGCGAAAGCACAAGGCACCGCTCAGAGACTGCTGACTGACGCCCGCAAGCTACTTGTGATCCTGAATAGATACTGCAGCCTCTGACTTCCCACTTCATAGAAGACGAACATTCGCACATTTTTCAAACACAAACACAGGTTCCAGTTTTCCCACCAAGCACGTCAGACACGCATCACTAAGCTTTATCTAGAATGCAGAACACGGAGGTGAAGTGCTCCTCGCATGACCTCACTTGTTATCACACATCTCGCAGTCTGAAAGGTCAGTTGGGGTTTAATATTTCACCCAAACTGAAGAGGTTGGCAGGAAGGGCAGAAGCTCGCCTCCTCCAGCACAGCCCTTACCACCAGCTCACAGCAGCATGCAGCTGTCCGCAGCCTGTCCTCAGCAGCCAGATTGAGGTGTCCTTCCACCAGCTCTTACTGGTCACAGACAAGACAGATACATTGAATTTGAGCAGCAAAGCCAAGAACTGCACAGGAGGAAAAGAGTGTGGCTGGGAACGTGCTGCTCTGGCGCTCTTACCTGCGAGAGCCCTGGGGACGACGCGTGTCCCGGTGGCGTTGCAGCAATGTTTGGGTGTCCCTTATTTATTTCATGTGCAGTGTAAGGGGATGGGGCAGGAGGACCCGGCTGTCTTGCTACTTGTGTTACCTGTGTGGAGATAAACTGTTAGTAAAACAGAACATTAGTAATCCGATCTGTAGAGATGCTGTACTCTTCTTAAGAAAGCAGCTAGCAGCACAGTATTATCATCACTATTTTTAGTGAGACACCGTACAAGTCAATGCACACAGATAAGGAAAATGGGAAAGGACCAAATACCAAGAGCACCAGCCAGAGCCCCTGGGAAATGGGGAGGAACGCTGGGGCCGTGCTGTGCAGCACCCCTCTGGCTCCAGGCTGCAACCTTCCCAGCTTCCCATGACATGCTGTACCCAACTACACTGGTTCTGCATCACCAGAAAGGCAGGAGCAAGGCCCTGGATCTCCATTTGCAGCTGAGCGTTAGCACCAAGCAAAGGCAGCACGAGGGCAGAAGCCACAGAGTTCAACTACACGCTTTCCCAAGTCGCACTGTTACATTCCAAATATTGATGCTTTCTTAAACATTACCTCCAAGCCTGAAACAGCTGCACCATCAACAAGAACGATACTGTGCAATTTCCCAAGGCTTGGAAACGGCCCAGAACCATTCACTGCAGGGAGATTTACAGCACCCCGGTGCTCACCCTGAGGGCAGGTCAGGGATGAGCCCCCCCAATATTACATACAGCGTATTTACATAAACTGAAGTCAGGGTGAGATATTTGCATGATAGCAAGCTAAAAAGCAACAAGTCCATGAGGGCACAACTTCTGTCCCGGCGTGCTCAACCAGGGGTTTGCTCTGCTGTTTACCACGGGACATTCTGCAACAGAAACTTGGGTTGAGGTAATTAAGGAAGCAGATGTCCATAAATCCAGAGCTGACATTATTCTCCTGAAAATGGGTACAGAGAATTCCATACTAATTTGCTAGGTATCTGTATGTTTTGTTTTTCAGAAGCCTTTATCCATGTTTTAAAGAAAATAACAGACTATATGAGAGGTGAACTCGGGCTGCAACTCTGAGTTTAAATCTTCTGTAGGTTTCTTCCCCTTCTGAGTCCACAACTTCAGCCACACAGCCATATCCAGGAAGCCCTCAGGTAAGATCAAAAGGGACAGGGCACAACACAAGCATCCCTGAGATGCAGCAAAAATTGACTTGGGCAGAACCTCCAGTACCCAGTGACCAGCACAAAGACCCCCGGGATGCCCCATGGGGCAGAACAGCCTCCTGAGCCCACCAGCACGTGGGCCTGCTCACCCTCTGTCATCTCTTTTCTCCAGAACTGCCTTCAGTATCCCTTTAAGGGCATCACAGTGGGCTGGGAGTGCTCTCCCCACCACCAGGGATAACCCTCTGCCCAGGGCTTTTATCACAGGGGACAAGCACCTCACAGCAGGCGCAGGACTGACTGCAGGGATCTCTCTGCTGGGAACCACCAGGAAGGCAGCAGCTTACAAGGAAACACCCAAAACCTCCCACCCAGAAGCAGCTCTTCTGGCACACGCGAGCACCTCCAAGCTCCCAGATCAGCTGCACTCGTGCCTCCTCTGTCCCCATTCAGCTCTTCCAGGACTTAACTCCACATCTGCCACCTGCCAAAAGGGCTCGGGAGGAAAGCTCTCACGGAACCCAAGTGATAAATGGCACTCCTTTCCCTTAAGCAGAACACCTTCTCCCATATTTGTGTTTTCTAAAAGCAGACACATTTCCAGCCCTGCCTTCTACTCCTGCAACACACAGGTATTTTTCACACTGAAAAGTCATTTTAGCTCATTCTTTACAGTTACTTTTACATTTTACATCAATTTACATTTTTACAGTTGCCTTTTCCCCAACAGGCAACCGCATTATACCCTCAAAGATCTGAAATGAAAAAACTGTGTAGGGAGGATCCCCTGGGCACAGAGGTAATGAGGGGAGGAGGAACCCTTGTGCAGCAGCCTGTGTTCTGCTACAAACACTTATGCTGGCTGCACAACACAGAGGGAACTTCCTGCATCCACAGCTTTCCTTCCTGCTTCCCAAATAATAAGGAGCTGCCTGGAAGCGTCTTGGCATTCCAAAGATGTGCACTCTCCCACCAGAAAAGCAAAGCAGTGCTTTAACAGGGCCCTGCTGACTTAGCACAGCTTAGAAATAAAACTGGGATTCCAGCTATTGCCGCATGGGAAAAGAAGAAATGAATCAAAGGAAAATGGTGTCCTACGTTCACAAACACTGCTGCGTTTTGGTGGTGTCTCCTCGATGACCCAGCTTTATCAACAAGCACCAGCGAGCCAAAGCACCCATCCCAGGTTCTCACTGTGCCATCACAATATTTCTCCGCAGCTCCGAACGGAGCGCTCAGTGCGAAGGCCCAACCTCTTTGGGCTGCTCCTGTGACAGGACACGTAGCACCAAGGCAGGAGGGATGGAGCCAACCAGCTGCATGCAGGACGCCTTCATCCCACCGCCACTGCCCCGGGAAACCCAGCGCTCTGCTGAATCAGCAGGAAAGGAAGGGATCCCAACTCCTGCAGATCCCATCACTGCTTACAATGCAAGAAACCAGGAATTCCAGTGCTGGGAAGCACCCAGCAGCACTGTGCGGATACTCACAGTGCTGTACACGGCAGAGACGGTCGGCGTGAAGATCCGCTCCTCCAGGGGCTGCTGCACGGGGCCGCGGGGGATCCTGAGGGCAGCTTGTTAAGGAAAGCAGCACGGGGAGGGACGTGGGGGCAGCGCCGCTTCCTCCCCACGCAGAGCCACAGCCACCATCGCCCTGTTTGCACTTGGCTCCATGTGGCAGTAAGTCGCCTCCTGCCCACACAGCGGAGCTGCTGCCAACAGGTTTTACGTCTCGGTGTGGAGCCAACTGCTGTAGTTCTCCCAACTTGGAAAGGTACCGAGGGCACCCAGAGGAAATAAAGAGGGAAAGGAACAAACAAATGAGCAATCCCTGCTCCAAAAGGGACCGTTCCTGAGTTTGGAAAAACTGTTTCATCCTCGAGCAGGTTAGGATTTATTTTCTTATTTTAGAACTCATGTAAGCCATGGGAAAATAATCTTCTCTGAGCAGTCAGCTCGCTGCCTGCGCCCAGGGCTGGGTGCTGCTGCCAGGGCAGCTGCTTCCACATCACTTCTGGAAAGTGATGGTTCTCATCAGATTAAAAGGAAATCTCTAAGTCCTTCTGCTACAGGACTTGATCTGAGCACAAGACTGAAGGATACAGAAGTGCCTTAAGTTTCACTAAGCTTTAATGAGATCCAAAGGATGGAGAAAGTGCTTATTTCCTGCACCCGGCTTCTGGCAAATGCAGGCACTGGGTGGGCAGCACAGTGCTCCCGGGGCTCTGAAGGAATGGGATGGGCAGAGCAGTGCTCGCAGGGCTCTGACGGGATGGGCAGAGCGCTGCTCCGGGGCCACAAGCGAGGTGGTCAGTGCAGCCTGCCCTCAGCACTCTGCTACCAGGGTAATTCAGCCCCCGTTGCTGCATGCCATCCAAGGTGCCATGCCACACAGACAACAAATGCGCAGCACTTACAGCCAGGAGGAATTCCTCTCCGAAATCTCCCTCCCGTCCAACACAAGTGAGCCCTCTGCCAACTCCCAGGGTTAAACAACCCCACTGCACGGCCCTGCTTGTACCACGTGTGCATTAAACAGTGGAAAATATGAGACAAAGCCATCAGGTGAGCGTACAGAGCATAGAACCACAGCAAACCCAAACCCTCAGCACCATCTGCAGCTTTCCGGTGCACAGAATGTAAGGGAATCAGCGGTGCTGGCAGCATCAGCACTCCGTGTCCGAGGGAAACTCCATCACAGCATGAACTCCTCAGGAAGAAGTTGTGCAAATCCTCCCAACTTTCTGCTCCAAAGCAGCTGCTCCTGTGCCCCAGCGGAGCAGCAGCGCAGCCACGTGCATGGTTGTTTAGCAGGTACTTTAAATCAGCAAAACCCACTGAGACACCCCAAAAATTAAACAACTTTTCCTGGCATGAGCACATCAAACTGCAGTCAGAGGTTCAGAGACACAGACAAAGACTTCTCTAAGAAGCCACATCCTCCTCACACCCCTCATTAATCCTGACATCAAGGACAGACTGCTGACTGCTCAAATCAAAGAACACATTAAAAGGTGTTTGCAAAATGGCAGCAGTGGGGTTTACAGTGGGTACACTGCCTGCAACAACCAGGCTGCATACTGCAGCCCTACTGCTGCAAGCAGATGCAAACCATGCTCTGAGATTCACCACCTGCTGTACTTACTCATAACCAAAAGGATCTTCAGGCAAAAGCCATTATTAAGCTTGTTTCAATGTTTTACAGCCCGATATAAAGACCCTTACTGCAACATGTGGAGTCAGCACTCACAACTGCATTGCCATTTGTCAGGAGGTATAAAATGTACGTGGATCAACAAAGCGTTTATGTAAACTGGCCTCTTATTCCATCACCTTATTCTCTGTATTAAATGGCACAACCAAACTCTCTTTACATTTTCAATTATGAGCTATTTTACACGTGCAACAACCACACAATGAGCAGCTCTGCGCTGCCCTAACAGCCTCGTGCCCAGCAGAGCACTGCTCCGGGCAGCTCCCCACTGCTGCCCACTCCCTCACAGGGCTCCATCCCCACTCAGCACTAACAAAGCCATGGGCTCGCCTGTCCCTCTGCTAATTAAGGGCTCCTCATTAAGCACTGCTCCCAAGCGCAGTCCCAATCCAGACGCTGCAAGCAGTGAGGCTGTCAGCATTTACCCAGATCATACTGTGCTCCCACCCAGCACTCTCCCTGAAAAATCAAAACTTGTCCTGAAATTTATCTTGAGCTTTTTACCTAATTACGTATCATTTATCTTAGTGCTTCATTTTAAGTAACCCAAGTGCTTCCTGCCCATTCTGCCTGCCGTAACATTGCCTGATCTACACTGCACACATCTCTCTATGCTCCAACTTCTGCACTCAGTGCCCATTCCACCAAAACCCTCTCCCAACACCCTTACCTGCTCTGTGCCACGCTGCCCTTCAGCCTCACCACAGCTGATGGAATGGGGTGGGAGGAATAGAACAGCAGAATCTTTGCTGCGAATGAGCAGCGTTTCCAGCATCTCATTCATTCCCCAATGCTTCCAAATAAAAATCAGCAATATTAAGGGCAGCAGCTGCAGGCAGCCACGCTGGTTACACCTGCAGACAAGCACCTAATTATCTGGAGCTCATTCCTTTCAGGCTCAGTTTTGCATCTCTAAATTAAAGAGAACTGGAGACGGCTCAGCAGCATGTAAATCACCCGCAGCCCTCGCTTCACCCAGCCCTGAGCAGCCTGCTGTCAGCATGGGCACCACGGCCATGCAAGCGCAACAGAACCCAATGCACTGCAGGCCAGTGAGACGCAAAGGAGATCTGCTTGTGCTACTCAGCCTGTTTCTGCAAACCCAAGTGCCAAAAGAAATCGTTTCTTTGGCCTGGATGGGGCGCTTCAGGCGGAAGCAGCTCTTTGTAAGGACAGGACTGGCTCCAGCAGCGGCCCCAAGCTCTGCCCCACCACAGTTCACACTGAAGCATCTCCGAAAAGGAATTTACCAAAGCACGGCCTGAGCAGGGCTAACAGCCAGCTGAAAGCTGTAAGCACCACAGATGCCCGCTGCACTGCAGCTGTGCCCAACACAGGGTTGGAGCACAGCTCTTGCTCAACTATGGACAACTCCTCAGCGGCCAACTTGCCTGAAAATATTTGTTTGCTGGCCCATCTTCCTCCATCAAAGAGCAGTTGCTGCTTTTTTTTTTTTTTTTTTTTTAATTCACATTTTATTCTTACAATACACAGCGTCTTCTAAGAGATGGAAAAGTCAATAGATTTCATCAGCTCCCTTCAGCTGGAAAGTCACAGCATCATGGAGAACATGCCAAGGGATACAGCCTTAGAATTCCATTTCATCTCAGCAGCAACATTTATGACCCACAGAGCCACAGCAGTACACCTATATGGATGGTTCCTGGCTACAGACCCAGGGGCAGCACCCGCACCTCCCCAGCACTGCCCCAACAGTATGCGGCCAAAGGACGAGGTTCTGTTCTAAGCATTAAGTGCCCTGGGAAAGGAGCCTATAGGCTCCTACGTGAGTGCTGGGGAGTGACAGATCACAGGTGGGAGCAGCTCGGGTGCTGAGGAACAAACACAGCCCTCATCCTGCTCGGTGCGGGCAAAGCAGCTACAGGAACGTGACACCACTGAAGCATGGGGCCCTAGCTTACACACAGGGCACGATTTTAATGGACAGGACAAACAAAAGGCAGCAGTCAAAGGGAAAAAAAGTAAAAGCAAAGTACCTAGGTTCTCAAAGTCATCACACCTGCCATGCCCACAGGGATGGGATGTCGCCAGTGAAGTCCTCACAGCCCACATCCTTGCAGAGGGGAGCTAAGAGATGATTACAGTCACAACAAGCTACTCCCGTGTAAGGCTCTGGGAGCCCTTCACCTCAGCAGCACCCACACACCTGCAGTGCAGGGGTGCACACAACTCCTCGAGCACCGAAGGACGGCTCTGCAGGCCCCAACCAGCCATCCCAGCACTCACAAAGCTGGAGCTGCTTTGCTGCACGAAGTTATCTGGCACAGCTTGAGAAAGAATAATGTTGCAGCAGCATGTGAAAATTGGCTGCACTCTGTTCTAAATTTATGCGAGGTACGGTGTGTTATCATGGATGCTGGGCCCAAGCCTTCATTAGGCAGGAAGGCCCCCAGAGGCCAGAACCAGCCCTGCACTGCTCAGCAGAGCGCAGTCTGCCTGCTGCAGGCAGGGAGCGTTTCCAGGGGCCCATCCAGCACAGAGCAGGGAGCCCCACCAGTCATCCACACAGTACCTGCTGTATGGGGAAGCAGTGAAGCCTCTTTCACTCAGGAGCAGTTAAACCCTCCCCAGCTTTCCACAGATTTAAGTGGGAGCAATTTTTCACGGATGCCCAAAGCACCGCACGCAGCTTTCAAACAGCTCTCACAGCCCATCCCCGCAGGGAGCTCTTGCTCGATAACCTTCCCTAATGCCAGCTGATGAAAAGCATCCCAACGAGGGGCAGAGCCAGAACCCCCCACATCCCAACCAAGACCCACGCCGTCAGAATGCAAAGTAATGCAACCAAACACCGTGCTGCCTTGAAGCTGGGCCAGTCTCACGCTAATCCAAAGCACTTCAGTTAATCTTTTGTTTCAAAAATTAACTTGTAAGGACCTGTAAGTCAGAACTTCGCCAAATGAAAGAAAGATTCTGCAGGTGCCTGTGCTGAGCTGAGCCGCTCACAGCTTTTCAAATGTAGAGGTCGACTGAAAGCACGGATCCCCTGGAGGAGTCCAAGTAACTTCACTTTTATCTACGGCGGGCTCACCTCCCCTTCATACCACTTATTATTAACCTTCACTGCGTGGCGATCACAACCACCAGCTCTGCTGAAGGGGAAATCCAAGTGGAAATCCCCAGCGGGATCTGCAGACCGGAGCTCTGATTCATTTCCCCACACCTGCCACAGCCTGCAGCGCTCAGCCCAGCCCTACCACAAGCTTTTGCTGGTGGTTCCATGGACCTTAGGGTGACTTGCAAACAACTGCTTAGAGATGCTTCTTAAAACACCGGGAGAACCAACGGGAGCCCTTTTGATCGACTGTACCAGAAAGTGTTTCCAACACAGAAAATCCCA